ATAATGTGTTTTAATTAGTGGTATGCCTTGAATGAGTCCATTTAATTATTTGCTTAAAGCAATGAAACAAATCTGTTTCTTTCAGTGTTCTCATTTCATCTAATTGTATGTAAGTACAGTTAATGAATCATCATAAGAGAATTTTGGATATTTTCCATTACATTATGGGAGATGAAACCATTTTTAAAATTTATATTTAAAAAACGTCCAATGGGTGTTCATCTTTGCATTATGGAAAATTTGCTGCTATACGCATTTCCTCTGGGAGCTATCGGGGCTGGATGCTGAGCCTGTTATACTTTAGGCATCACCATCTCCAAATCAACAAACGATACAACAACGGGTACTAGAGTCTCTTTGCAATGACATCCTTATACAAAGCCAAATCTCCGAAATATGTGCCAGTCTGTTGGTGACTGTTGGAGCCCTAAAATAAAATAGAATTTGGTTATTTATTATTTTCTGTTAAAAGATCCAACTCAGAACATCCCTGAACATCTGATCCAGAAAATTGAGCTGTAGACATTCACTCATTGATTCATGCCACAAATATTTGTTGAGCCCTTCCGTCTTCCAAGTTGTCCTAGGTTCACATAGTTGTGATGAATTCAGCAACCTTCCTGCCTTCACGTAGTCTACACTGTAGAGAGGGATTTGAACCCAGGTCTCCGATTCCAAAAGCACATGTGTATTCTTTTCTATGGTGTGGGTTCTAGTCAGGTTGCAGCCCCGCAGTGTAAAGAACACTGGGGTTTGTGGCCAGCTTCACATTCTTTAATGCTGTCCTGAACTTTCAAGGTGACATAATTATATCGATAATATAAACTATTCTACCTGGGAAAGATCTAATGTTTTTGAGGGAGATTCCAGCTTGTGAATAAATAAACAGGAAGGAATATTTAATTCCACTTGGAGTTTTTAGTCATTTCCTAATATTCCATATAAAATCCATGTCTCAGTGCACCTGAGGTCACAGGCAATTCTATTTTAAATGTCCCCAAAGGATGCCCCACCACACAGGACTAGCGAAACACAGTAGGCTTAACAACCAGAAGCAAACCCTTTCTCTTGAAATTAGTTTAAGATTCATTTTAATTATCTAAATAATTTTAATGAATATAAGACGTAGCAAATGAACTCTTGATACTGCCTAACTACTTTCATTTCTTACTCATTTCTAATTTATTCTTATGTTAATTTGCAGTTGATTTTTTTTTTTTTTAGGCTTTGCTGAATTAATGGAAACCCAGATGAACATGCTGCTCCTGGCATTCATCCACTGGAGGTCATTATGACTGAGGTCAATAATTAAAATTAACAATGGGATCCCTCAAGTGTCATAGGCTGAATAACACACTGTGTGTGTGTGCGTGTGTGTGTGTGTGTGCACATGCCTATGTTCTCATTCAAAAAAATTATTGCTAACTCTTTGTGCTGAGACGCCATTTGGCATAAGGCATAGAGGGAGGGATTTAAGATCAATAAGATAAAATCCTGGTCCCTTGAGAAGCTCCATTTACCAGTAGAACTGTCAATGGAGCTAAGTGGTAGGCAGCGGAATAGGCGCATTGCCACCTTTAAGCATTACAACATCCCTACCGTGTGCGGGTTACTGTCTCCGTTTTACAGATGAGGTCAGAGACGTTCAGTGAGCTGTCCGTGCCATGCGTCTTGCATGAGGCATGTCGAGATGCATATCTAAGTCTGAACGGCTCTCAGTTTTTACTGTTTCCACTCCGCCATGCTGTCTTCTAAAATGCTTCGTATTTGGTGAAGAAAATAAACAGACGTGGGAAAGGTTAAAAGAGATATGTGCAAATCGAAAGCACAAAAGGCAAGTAACTCCGTTTTGGGATGCCAGGAAGTTTCCTGGAGGAACTGACATTGATGTGCCTCTTAAAAGATGTTTGGGGTGTGCGGGATAGAAGGAATGCAGACAGGAAGGACAAGGCAATGGCAGGCAGAGAGTTTTAGAGAAGTGAAGTGGTATGGCGGTGGGGAGTGGCAGGAGGAGAGAATGAAACAGAAGGTGAGGGTCTTCGACACCATGTGAAGGGCTGTGCCCGGGTAAGGGAGGGCCATCAAAAGCATCATCAAGGCCAAGCTGTGGTCAGACGTGTGATTCCGAAAGGGCCTGTAGAGGATGAGAGTAGGGGAGGGTACTGGAACAGAAGTGCTGGGTACGATGCTTTCATCAAAAGGTGAAGGGAAACTGATTAAAGAGGCAGATTAAAAAGGCATCGATGGGTGGAATAGTCTAATTGGCGAGAGAATTTAAGAGTGAAGAGGAAGGCAGAGTAGGAAAAAATAAGAGTTAACATTTATGGAGTCCTTCCTGTATACCAGCTGCTGTGCTCAGCCCATCACAAGCTCTCTCATTAAGACCACATAACGAGTCTATGGGAGCAGCATTTTTATTATTCCAATTGCACAGAGGGAAAAGTTACGCATTGGAGGTTCGGTAACAGCTGGAAAATTGTAGACAATTTGAACCCAAGCAGTTTGACTGCGTGACATTTATTTTATTACTATTGTATCGCCCAGCTTCCTGGGTGAGTCTGAGGTTTTCATTAATTAAGATAGGGGCTGGAAAAAGATGAAAAGGTGTAGAGGGAGAGTTACTGAGATCAATCTTGCACATTTTGAGTTTGCATTTCCTGTAGGATATCCATGTGGAAGTATCTGGTTAAATAATTGGAAAGTGGAACTAAAGATAAAGAAGTTATTGCTATACAGATACTGCTTGATACCAAAGGACCACACCACACTTGCTCAGCAGGCAGGTGGAAACAAAAGCAGGACCCTGGTAAGAATGAAGACCATGGTCCCCTTGAAAATAAACACACGCAAACTCACAACCTTCAAACAACGCAAATTTCATGAACTCAAGTATGTGGTCTTTATTTCCAATTATGCCTTTTGTGACTTTTTGTGAGATTTATTTGCCTGGCTTCCCAAAATCATTGCCTTATTGAAGTGTGAAGAATTGTTCTTCCAAAACTCTAGCTCCAGAGAGCGCTGGGTTTTTCTAAAAAGTTAGCATTACTGATGTTCACATTTGTCAAAATTGGACCTTCAAACATTCACGATTTAAAATTATTGTGAATGACTATGTTTTCAACAGGGAAGAATGATGTTAAAATTCGAAGCAAAATAGTTTGTTTCCTCCAAACTTTTCTCTTTCTCCTCCTGGTCGTTCTCCCGAACTGCACCCCCCCATCCTCCTCTTGCTGCAAAACACCTTTGCCAGCTACAGTGCAGAAGGAACCCCAGGCTGCAGCAGCCTTAGTGAGAGAAAAATGTCACCATCTGGCACACACTGTAGCAGCTGCACCGAGAGGGACACAGTGGTGCCATTTCACTGCTGGTGTTCCAACGTGTAATTGCTGGGGGCAGAGAGAGGTTTTAGGGGGCGGACAGGTGCTCATGTGGGCACGGGTTAGCAAGTGTTGTTTCCCAACTTTCAAACTGCAGGAAGAATTCCTGTAACAACCATCTAGCCGTCAAAGAGATTCATTCCGGAAGAACAGAGTAATTCAAGGCGCGGCTGGTAAAATGCCATTCTTTACCATTGTTGCCCTCGAGGAGCATCCTGCGTAGGAGATACTCGCCCAGGGATCTGACAAAGCAGGCAGGGGGCTTGGATGGGGCTTTCTTACGCAGCTTCCAAGTTTCTACGTCAAGTCGTCTCACAAAGCAAAACTGAGAAGTGCCAAGGCAAGGACTGAAAGAGCAGGTCAGAGGTTCCTGGTGATGCTACTGTGTTTTATAAAACTATTTACATCTCTCTTTTTGGTCATGGCAAGGTCTATTGGCACAAATAGCACAGCCACAAAGTATTTTTCTTTTGATTTTAATAACTCATCTTATATATATTTATATATATATATTTATATTTCTGCTTATCTTCAATTCTTCAGCAAAAAGGGAAATAAAAATATTGATCTATAAAATAAGCTGATGATAACACAATGCCAAAAATAGCTCATGTTAAGTGCAAGAGGTGAAGCTTGAAAGCAAGCTAAATTGCAACAACGTATCGATTTAACATTTTAAATACAAGACTTGCAATAAAATAATTCTTGCGATATGCTTCTCATTTTTAGTTTACGGTTTAAAAACTACTCTATATACACACATCCAGTTGTAACACTTGACAGTAGCATCATGAGGCATGATATAACTTTGGTACACATCGCGGATACGGATGGTTAACGTCTGGAAATGATATTCCTTCACCAGTCAGAGCTCTGTACAGCCAGGTGACCAGCCACCTGATCCCACATACTATCCCCCCAGAACCCCCGGAGTTCTTCCCAGAGCCAGGAGACAGTGGGGACGCAGGCTCACTGGATCCATATCGTGTTTCCTCGCTCGGTTCTCCGGGGTTCCACTGTCAGCTCCCCAAACGTGGAAAAAAACTGCTCCATTTCCTTCTGTAGCATGTCATTTCTTTTCTCAGCGTCTTCTTTTGCTCGCTCGGCATTTCGCATTTTGATTTCTATCATTGTAAACTTTTTCCTCTCTTGATCTAGTTCATCGTGGAGACTCATCATTTCTGTTTCCAAAGTCAAGTTTCGTTGTTCTAAGCTACAAAGGATGGGGGGGAGGGAGTAAGAGATAAAGTGATTTTATTCGTTTGAAACGCAGAGTACAAATATTTTCTAAACTCTCTACAGTGCTTGGAAACTTGGAGGAAAGCCCTTTTAAATCAGTAAAGCAAGGTCGGATGATTTAAAAGCTGTAATTACAACCATTTTAGTAATTAGGCCCCAAGCACTGAGTCGTCATTTAACAGTGAATGAATGAACGTCAGCACAGAAAAGAAGCAGGAGGCAGCTCAAGCCAGAAAGCTTCCTTAACATTAAATGTAAACTTGACTTTACTGAATGAAAGGGGAAAAGTCTGATAAAGTTAGAAGAAAGACAGGGCCATCACATTTGCTTTCTGTCAAAGGAAAATACTGCTAGAAAAATGACATTGTTGGATTAAGTCCACTGTTAAGAATGGGCTTTTCTGTAGCAGATAGAGTCCCATCGTATAAAAGGGCAGCAGAAGTAGGCAGCTAACACTGGCAGCAGGGGTAAAGACTACCTGTGTTAAACAAGCATGCCACTTGGTATTTTGCAAAAACAGAGCCCATCCAAGTAGGCTGCTGTCCCCAACTCTCACCACTTCCCAAGTTGTTAATCTATCTTAGGATATAGGTACTTTATATTGCTATAAATTGATAGCTATATTCTTTTGGATAATTGTAGAGTTGTAGGTAACCTCTTTAAAAACAGAGAGCATGTTTTCTCATGACCACGAAAATCCAAAACATACACAAATATTGTTTAAAAAATGAGCGTTAAATACTTGTTTATTATAACATGTATCTTGGTAATGGCTGGCTTTTTAATTTCTTCTATTCTGACCTAAAGTCCCATGGGGCTCATTCAGGTTTACCATACCACTTAAATTTGAAAGGCTAAATGTGTCTAGCTCTCAGAAATTTGATTGTTCCCACAATTATTTTAAAATTAAAAATCTCGATTATTTTTCTGTTTTGAAAAATGAGACCCCTATGTTGATATTTCACCCAGATAATAAGAATACTTAAAAATGAATATAACCTCCCTTCGTAAGCAACTAGACCTTTATATTCTGCATTCCTACACAGTTTAGAAGGCTATTTTAAACACAGAATCACATTTTTATGTAGGAATCTGGTTGCCACCTAGAATTATTCACAATATATCCTCTTTGCCTTCTAAAACCAGTTTAGAACCAAAAATGTTGGAAGAAACTGAAGCTTAAATACTAAGAAAGAAAACCCTTACGAAACAATATACTGATACATTTGTATGTATCAGGCACTTGCATGAAACTTCCAGGAATCTGAAGGACTGAGTTGAATACAGAAGGAATCCCCCCTAATACAATCACATAAAAATGCTGGAAAAGGTATAAGAAATATATTTTAAAAGTACTTAATCAAGGTTAATATGAATAAAATAAAACAGCTTCAGGTATCAGAACCAAGGAAGAAACTCAAATATGTAACAGTCAGAAGCAGCACACATGGGTGGACAGATGCCCCAGAGGCTGGGTCTAGGTCTTCCTTTTCCACATGGGACAGAAGATGAGGCCTCCAGGGTAAGAGAGGCAGAGAGCTACAGGTCATTCAACTGAGGCATCGAAACAGCAACAGTCCTTTCAAAAACGGGACTACGAAACCTGCAGTCATGGGCTTGGGGAAGTGGCAGGATTGAATCCGCAGAAGAGAGAATTAATAAACCACAAAACAGGTCTGAGAAAAATTACCCAGAAAGCCTCACAAAATGATAATGATAGAAATTTAATGTGAAAAAGAGAAGTTAGCAGAGATAGAGGACAGATTAAGAAGGTCCAACATACCTTAATAAGGATTCTAGAAAGAGAAAATTGAGAAAGTGAGGAAGATGAAATAGGAAAAAAGGTGATGCATAAAAATATTCCAGAATTGAAAAAGACATGTCTTCATATCAAATAATGAAACAAAGTTTAAAGGTTAAAGAATAGAAAAGATATATTAGGAATTTAATAATCAAAAGAAAGATAGTATAGCAATATTAGTATCAGAAAAAATAGACTTTCAGGTAAAAAGCATTATTATAATTAAGATGACATTATTTATTAATAAAAAGGTCAATTCAGAGAGATAGAAACAATTCTATACTTTGAGGCAAAACCTCAAATTATTCAATACAAAAATAACGTAATTATAAAGAGATATTGATAAGCCCAGAATAATGTTAGGATATTTTAGGATATTTTTTTTTAAATTGTAGACCAATCTGATAAAAATTAGGAGAAATGTAGAAGATTTGAACAGCTTGATTAACAGATTTATCTACTGGTCATATATAGAATTCCAACCCAATAAAAAGATAATAGTTTTAACAGACCAAATAATTGATACTATACAAACGAACTTCTCTGACTACAATACAAATTTTCTAAGAAAATAAAGTTAGAAACCAATTTGGAGAGGGAAAAAAGAATGCCAAACTCACGTTTACAAACTAAAAAACATATCTCTCGTTGATTGATAATTAAACACAGTAAAATATTCTGTTATCTATCTATCCATCCATCCATCCATTCTTCATACTTGTGGGGTAGAGTTAAAAAGAAGTGTAAAGAAAAATGTATAACTCTAACAGGAATGATCGAAAATTAGCTAGGACCGTTAATCTTTTCTATTTCCGTGGCTTGGCCAGTGGCAGCCCGTAGCCTAGCCCCACTGCAGACCTCCCTTGGCCTCTCAGGAAGGTAGCAATGCTAGTGAAATGGCCCACTGAGATGATACTCCATTGCAAAGTTTTTTTATTTTATTGAAGTCTTTTTGAAACAAACCATAGATCTCAGGGCATACATGCGACACCAATATCCTCAGAAATAAATACACACGTCTGCAGCTCGAGAACGATAACTTTCTTCTGCTCCTGCTACAGTTCTGAAGTGCTGTCCTTGCCTCCAGAGACAAGGTTCCCAGTGCCAAGGGCCAATTTATCATCATGCATTGGCAGCAATTCAGAATTCCAGTAGCTACTGATTCCAAAAACTACATTCTGAAAGAAGAGTAACCTTCTAAGATGATGACCCGATTTTTTTTCTTATTTCAACCTCCTGTCATTCAGCATCAGGGAAACCATGTTTCCGTTCAGTGAAACTTACTAAAAATACTTTCCAAGGAAGTAAGTTCTCAATGTCATTTCTAAATAGTGTTTTTGTTTATATTTACTTTGTCATAGCTTCTGAAAATGCGTTATCTTTTGGCTCGATAACTGATAAATGGATAGGAAAATACCAAGATAAATTAAAGCCAACTTTATATATAAAGAAAAGAAACCGTGGAGTTTGGAGCCGTGGCAAACGTCGAAGCACGACAGACTACTGAGGATGCTAGCACACCACACACCAAGAGGTGCCCCCAAATCACACGCCTCGAAACTGGGACCAAGACCACTAGAGGGGCTACTTCTACCTTGGCCATCTCATGAGAAGATGTAAATTGATAAAAGTTAGGTTTTAGCATGGCTGATTCTTTATAAGTCATATTCTTTGTTCCCCATTTAGGCTCCAGTTTCCCTTGTTTATGTGAATACACTTCCTGTTACCCCTCTTCTCAGAAACCTCCGTGGAGTCCTGTCTCAGAGTAGAGTCAAGACTGAAAATGTCCCTCTCCAGGCCCTGTGTCACCTGGTACCTGTTACCTCTGTGAGCTCACTGGAATCCTCAGGATGTGGAACGGAGCCTGGCAGACAGAGATACTCTCTCAGCATTCAGTGATTGAAAGAACCAAAAGGAACATCTATTTACTTCTAACATCTTTTTTTTTTTGCCCTAATTTCATCCTTTTTTTGTCAGTGAAAACTGGCGGGCCCCTTCTGCTCTGTTCATCTCCTCACAGCTCCTGTCCTTCCAGCCCTTTAATGCAAACCCACATAATTAATAGTAATCAAAGATAACAGTATTGAGCACCTATTCTTTGCCAGGGATGATGCTCAAAGACTTCTTACATGCATCTGAGGTAGACACTACAAGTATTTCAATTTCTCACGGCAGGAAACCGAGGCTTCCAGAGATCAAGCTAACTTCCCCAAAGTCCCACAGCTCCCAAGTGGTGCAGCAAAGACTTGACTTTGGGTCTCCCTGACTTTGGAGCCAGCGCATTTAACCCTGTGTGTGATCCCGTCCCAGGAAGGAGGAGGCTGTCGCACCCTCTCCGGCAGTGACGACCTCCAGATTCTCCTCACCTCTTTATCCTGGACTCGTACTCTATCTTCTGCTTGGTCATTTCCTGTTTCAGGCTGGACACTAAACTGTGCAGGGCACTGTGGTTGCTGGTGTTGTTACCAACAAATGTCTCGCTGTTGTCACTGCTGCTGGTGGCGCGACTGCTCCGACCTCCCACACTCCTGCGGTCGCTTTTGCTTTCATAGTCCCCGGGGTGGGCAAGGTCGTCCTGCGGGGGCCCATCCAAAATGGGGTCCTCAAAGTTCCCACCATAAAAGTCCTGCTCCGGGCAGGTGGTGGTGGAAGAGCGGCAGGAGTTGGAGTTCTCGGGGAGGGAGATTTCGCAGGAGGAAGTGGACCAGGTGGCGCTGTCCACGCTCTGCTTGTCGTCGAGGTTCATCGTGGAGAACTGCTGATGGACGTTGTCGTAGGTGGAAAGTCTGTTGTGCTGGCCCGACTCTCCGCACTGCTCTTTCTGCCTGTTGTCCCGCAGGGTCACGTAGCCGTTCGGCAGCCAGCTCAAGCTTCGACCGTTCACAGGGTTCCCGAGGGTGTCGCTGTTCAAGACACCCACACGCATCGTCCCATTCTGCACGCTGTGGGTGCCCATCTTGGTGCCAGACCCCTTCAGCGAAGAGGTCCTTCTGGCCTGCAAGCTCCCGTTGGGGGTGGTCTGGGTTTTCTCGAAACCTTCCGCATTACTGCTGCTGAAGGAGCCGTTGGTGACTATCCCACTGCCCTTGCTGAAGGCTGGGTTCTTTTTGACCATGAGAGGGGGGCTCCTGGAGACATCTGGCTTGTGAACACTGCTCCTCGGGCTGTTGGTTTTGCTGCTTGACAGAGCTGTGGGTGACCCGTTGTCCACGCTGCTTCTCTGAGGTGACTCGGACTTATCCCAAGAGCACCGCCTCCCAGGGCTGTCCTTGGTATTGTTGTTCTCCTTGTTCTGTAACTGACCCACGGTGGCTTTCTTCTGAATTTCATTGTTGTTGTTGCTCACGCCGTCTTGGGGCTTGCTCTGTAGTTCTGCGTCTTTGGGGAAGAGGCGATCATGTTTGCTAATCATCACTGACATCAGCTGCTGGACCACCACAGTGCCTAGAATTGCACAGACAGCAAAGTAGGGTGAGTGAGACAATTTTGGTTTATTTCCTAGAATATGACTCTTAAAGAAACATATTTAGCCGACCATTCGTCATTATTCTTAGTATTGCCAAACTATATTCTTAATGATAATAGCAATAGAAGCTAAAATTTCTTGAATATTTATTCTATGCCATGAACTGTTTCGAGCACTTTGCTTTTGCAGTTGAGTTGGATTTTGGAAGAAATCTATGACTATATACCGTTATTATCACTGTGCTGTAAAGGTAAAGTAACTTGACTAAGGCCACAAAGCTATGAAGGACCAGACTCGGGGCAAGCCCACAGTTATCTGGTTCCAAGACCAGGCTCTCAATAATTATATAACATTTATTATAAGTTTGACAAATAATTATGAGAAATCTTTCTTAGGAGGAGGTCACCGTAACCTCTCATCTGACAATAGTCTCAAACCATCAGGACACTTTAGTGATATCTTTAAAAAGAACTCTATACAATCTGTGTATGGTCTTTCTAATGTTGCAAGACAAAGAAGTTGCATATGACTTTTACTCACCACTCAAAAGCTACAGGGCATTTTAAGTGACATTAGCCAGAATGGTGGAGTGAGGACCTCCAAAAATCCTTGTCACCATAAAAGCAACCAGCAAGAATTTTCAGAATCAACTTTTTTAGAACTCTGGAAACTAGCTAATGGCTTGAAGCAATCTGGAGAATATGTATTCAAGAAAAATGGCTAAATCTCAGTAAGAGCAATAAACTCTGTGGTGTATTAACCTGCCCTATTCTCGTCCTTTTCTTCCCACTTTGCAGTAACATTGACGACCAGCAGCTCACAATCAAGCGAAAACCAGCAGTCTGACAGCCACTGAAACGGCAGAGCAGGGTTGGAACCCCTTCAAAACTCATTTTCTAAAGAATTGCCATTATTTCACTTGTTTGGTGGTTCCCTGGAAGACCCCACTTATGAGGCTTGTCTTTATTTAATCTGAGTAGGAGCTTGCCCGGTGCAAACAGTTTTTTTCCCAGGGGTACTTGTTACAAACAATGAGCAGCACTTGTATTTATGTCATTACTGCCTGAAACGTCATTACAGCTGGGACAAACAATAGGCTAACCAAAGACTTAAAAGGAAAATCTGGGGGGTGAGATTTCCATAGGGGGTTTTGAGATGCTCTGATACAGTCCTGGGAATCTAGAAGACCACGTGCACATTTAGGGCTGTGTGCGTGCTCAGGGCTGCGCGTGTGCTCAGGACAGAACTGAGAAGTCCCTGAGCTCTCGCCTCTGCTAAGCTCAGGACTCTGCACAAGCAGAAGCTGAAGGTGAAGGCAGAGCTGTAAACTGCCTGGATGAGTGGGGACGGTTTGGCTCTACGCACACAGGCCCCTTGGTGAAGACGCGGAGACTTATTGGCACCAGACATTTCAGGAAATCTCCAATCACTAGTTGACAATGAGGTGAACCAAACAGAGACTTCGATGGCCATACACAACTAAAAATATAGACTTTATAGAATTAGTTTAGGAAAGATACTAAACAAACAAACAACAACACAGACACAACCAAAAACATAAGAAGGGGGAAGAATCTGATATCCACAGTTTCCACATATCATCAAAAATGCCCAGCTTTCCACCAAAAATTATGAGACATGAAAGCATAATGTAAGTCCGGCCCACATACGGGGAAAAGCAGACTCTGAAGCACCCCAGATCTTGTACTCACTAGACAAAGGTTTAAACCCAGCTATTTAAACACTGTCACTATCACGTACTGTGTTTGAAGACACTGCATTTAATGCTATTTTACTATTTGCCCGTAGGACAGACACACATTTTCAAAGGTTTGCAGCTTCCATTGTACACGATTCTGCCTAGTGTTCTGCAAAAACGGACCTTGTTCCCATCACTGGACTGTTAACATTTGAAGCATCGCTGCTTCCCATCATAGCTATGAACTGTGTGGGGCATTTAATTAATGAAGAGTGACATCCCCAAGGTCTCCATGATGAGTTTGTGAACAGTCACGCCAAAGTGTACCTGCCGCAATTACAGAGTGAGCGTCAGGGCTCCAGAGATTAGAACTCTCTCCATGGTATCTCGGGAGGCTTTGATCTCATTTACTTTCTGGCGTAATAAATGGCAATAATCCCTTGTAAAGGGACTTTCTTTGAATTTTTATAGCCATTTAGGACAGACTGGCTTGGTAGTAACGATGATGTGTGTGTCACTATGGGCATTACCATTTTTTTTCTTTTTTATTCCCTCCTCTCCGTCATTCTGTTCCTTAGAGTGCCAGTGAGGAACATTAAGCCCAAATAATGAAGACAGAGTGGTTATAATCACCAGCCCGTTCCGAAGAGTGCAGGCAGATTCTAGAGCCTCATCGTGCTGCATGCTCCAGCAATTCCTCCCTGGCTCATACAAAATCACACAGGTGGAATCTAAATACCATATTATAAGCACTTCTCTTCATAAGCATTGGCTAAGAATTCATTTTTTCTTCAAAGATACCTAGGCACTTTAAAATATAATATTTACATGTAAAAATATATGTAAATGAGCAGTGTTCTATGCAATATAACTTCAATTTGGACTTTTTGCAATGAATAACCCTGTATATGTGTCATTTTGCATGTCCAGAGATATATGCAAAATATCTGATGAGTTCTGACAAATGTATACAGTCCTGGAACTTTCCCTAATCATAACCTAGAAAAGCTCCCTTGTGCCCCTTTGGAGTCAATCCCCTGCACCCACCTCTGGCCCATGGCATCCGCTGATGTGCTTTCTATATCTATAGTTTTGCCTTTTCTAGAATTTCATATAAATGGAAGTATTCAGGGTGTAGCCTTTCATGACTAGGTATTTTTCACTCAGCATAATACTTTTGATATTTACCCATGTTGTTACATGTATCAGTAGTTCAGTCTTTCTATGGTTCAGCAGTATTCCATTCTATAGATGTTCCGTATTCGTTCATCTATTCACTAGTTGATGGGGAATTGGTCTGTTTTCAGTTTGGGGCTATTATGAGTAAAGTTGATATGCACATTTGACTGTAAGAACATGTTTTCTTTCTTCTTGAGTAAATATTTAGCACATTGCTCTGCTGGGTCTTAGGATTAGTGTATATTTAAGTTTATAATAACCTGCCGAATTCTTTGGTGAAATGGCTCTAACATTTTGTATTTCTACCAGCCAAACTTGGTGTATTTTCAGTCCTAATTTTATAATTTATGGGGGATGTGTAGTGGTATCTCATTATGGTTTAAATTTTCTTTTTTCCTAATGACTAAAGATGGTGAACATCTTTCCATATGTTATTTGCTATTTGTCTATTTTCTTTGATGACATGCCTATGTCAAATCTTTTGCCAGCTTTTCATTGCATTGACTGTGCGATGTTGCATGAGTCTTTATATATTCTCTAAACATGTTCTTTGATCAGATATGTGATTTGCAAATACATTCCTCATGCCTGTGGCTTATCTTTCTGTTTTCTTGAGAATATCTTTTGAAGAACAAAAGTTTCAATTTTGATGAAGTCCAACTTATCAAAATTTTAAAAATATTTTAATAGTTAAAGCCTTTTGTGTATTGTCTTTGAGCAACTCAGTCATAAGAATTCTTCTGTGTTTTCTTCTATATGTTTTGTACTTTTACATTTAGGTCTAAGATCTATTCCAAGTTTGTATGTGTGTGTTGGGGGGAATAACGTTTGAGGTTAGTTAGTTTGTTTTTTGGGGATATGCAATTGCTCCAGCATGATTTGATAAAATGACTATCCCTTTCCCATTGAAAAGGGATATTTGTCAAAAATCAAATGACTACATATGTGGGTCTATTTGTGGACTCTTTGTTGTATTACATTGATCTATATGTCTGTCTTTATACCAATACCACACTATCTTGATTATTTGTGTCTTTATATTGTCTTGAAATCAAATTGTATACATTCAACTTTATTTTTCCCTTTAAAATTTTTTGGGCTAGTCTAGATAATAGTTTTGTGTAGTGTCCTCTCATGCAAACAGAAACCAATTCTCATCTACTCTCTGTAGATCTCTGAACTCTCTATGTCTAGTTCTCTCTTCTCTGCTTCCTACTCCTCCAAATTCTAGCCCCCTTGGCCTTCTCATTGTCTAATCTTACTCTTTTCAGCTCAGTAAGACCTGAGCTCTGTTTGCATTTCTCTTGCCTGTGATGCAGTGTGGAAACTGCCTTCCAGCAGTAATCTGGGGCAATCACTGGGTTCTTTTAATTCATTTTCCTTTCTTAGCAATCATGGTCATATATTGCCTGTAGTCCAATGTGTAAAAACTGCTGTTTCATACATTTTTTATGGTTTTCTAGTTGTTTGATTTGGGAGGGTAAATCTAGTTTCTGTTCCTTCATCATGACAGGAGCAGAATGAAATATTGTTGGGCAGTAATTTAAAATAATACTGAAAACAGTCTTCATAGGGTTTTCTTCAAAACACATATCTATCATATAGCTATAGATATGAATATATAACAGGCTATCATGAATGGCTAACTCAATATTTGAATAGTAGCAAGGAAAATAATGGTAAGGAATGTATAGAGAATTTTTAAAGCAAGAGAGAATTTTAAAAGAAAGAGGATAAAAAACAAAGCAGTCTGCATGTTTTCAATAGAATTCAGGTCAGTTGACTGCAAGTAGCATGTAAGTAGCCAAGAGTAATGAGTTTAATTCATTTGGACATCTACCAAAATGAGAAAAGAAGGTAAAGATAAATATTGTGGGTTAGTAAATATTTAATATTTCTTAGCCAACCTGTGCAGCCAACCTTTACTCCAGCCTGCTGCTGAAACTATAATGAAAGCACATGATCAGGGACAAAACCATTACACATGGATTGAGCTTACTCTTAGATCAGGCTAATGTTCCACACACCTATTGCATCTCAGGGGTTAATTCAGCCTCAGAGTATATCTGATTGAATTATAATATTTATATATAAAATGTGGGGCAAAAGACTAGGAGGTATGAGCACAAATACAAATTCAATCTCAGACCTCGAGGTAAGTGGAGAGTCAATGCCTTCCTTCCGTCTTCCCACAGCCAATCCCTAGAGCCGGCAGAGTTACTATTCAGAAATAAAAATCCTAGCTCAACATTCTCTTGCTCAATAATCATCAAAGATTCCTGAATGTAGAGTGGCTTATAAGGCCTTGAAAATATTGGGAGATCTTTCCAGCCATTCTTCCACCAATCCTTCCTATATGCTCTGGTATCGCTGACCTTACCAAAATTTTCACTCAGGTACACTATGGTCCTTCTTACTGCTAAATATTTGGGTCCTCCCCAAGTTCATATGTTGAAATCCTACCCGCAAGTGTGATGGCATTAGGAAGTGGAGCCTTTGGGAAGTAATTAGGTCATGAAGGTGGAGCCCTCATAAATGAGATTAGTGTCCTTATAAAAGAGATCTCAGAGAGCTTCTTCACTCCTCTGCCCTGCGAGGACACGGTGAGAAAACAGATGTCTATGAACCAGAAAATGAGCCTACATCAGATATTGTACCTACTGGCACCGTGATCTTGGACTTCCTAGCTCCAGAACTGTGAGAAATAAATTTCTGTTGTTCATGAGTTACCCGGTCTATGGTATTCTGTTACAGTGGCCTGACTGGAACAAGACGATAACCTTCTTTTTTTTTTTTGAGACAGAGTCTCACTCTTTTGCCCGGGCTAGAGTGCCGTGGCGTCATCCTAGCTCACAGCAACCTCAAACTCCTGGACTCAAGCGATCCTCCTGCCTCAGCCTCCCAAGTAGCTGGGACTACAGGCATGCGCCACCATGCCCGGCTAATTTTTTCTATATATTTTTAGTTGTCCAATTAATTTCTTTCTAATTTTAGTAGAGATGGGGTCTCCCTCTTGCTCAGGCTGGTTTCGAACTCCTGAGCTCAAACAATCTGCCCGCCTCGGCCTCCCAGGAGCTAGGATTACAGGCCTGAGCCACCGCGCCTGGCCGACGATAACCTTCTTACCTCATAAAGGACTGAATTCCCTTACCTCTTGAAATCGGTCATATAAAACCAAAATTAATGAATACATATTAACTTACGTATTATTTATTTATTATTTTAATAACATTTGAATTTTCTAAAAATTGCACTGGACTCAGAAAGGGAACCAGATTTTTTTCAGTTCTTGCACAATACTGTACAGATGATTTATGGAAGTTCCATTTATTCTTGTAATGCTACTGGGGGGGGCATTTAGGAAATTTTATGTTTAGTAAGCTAAAAAAATTGCATGACTCTCAAAGAGGTTTTACATTTAAAGAACTTGAGTTACTAAACATAATTGCCATGAAATCACTTATTTCCTTCATTTTCTCAGAGGAGAATAAATTCTGGCCAACCTAGAGAGAGTTGATTCTTCTTTTGATGAGGGTGTAAGATAATCATTTACTTACCCTCCATGATAGTCAAAGGATCTTCCACTTTGGGTCTCAGGATATTAGGACCAAAGACAGTTGCCAAGTTCTGCACACTCATTTTGTTAACTCCAGAATACGACTGTACTTCATCCAAGAACCTGTTGGGTGTAAGCATATGATCAAAACACTATAGGGTCAAATTAGTCAGTGGTAGAAAATTGATCACTGGGGAATTTATGAATCGGAGTATGTTCAAAGATGATTATGGAGACAAAATTATTTGGACAGTCAAACATCTCTCACTCAAATGTGGAAAAAATATATTGTAAATTATGGAGGATCTCACGCCTGTAATCCGAGCTCTCTGGGAGGCCGAGGCGGGCAGATTGTTTGAGCTCAGGAGTTCGACACCAGCCTGAGCAAGAGCGAGACCCCGTCTCTACTAAAAATAGAAACAAATTAATCAGACAACTAAAAATATATACAAAAAATTAGCCGGGCATGGTGGCGCATGCCTATAGTCCCAGCTACTTGGGAGGCTGAGGCAGGAGGATCGCTTGAGCCCAGGAGTTTGAGGTTTCTGTGAGCTAGGCTGACGCCACGGCAC